GGGAAGCAGGGAACCGGGACCCGCCGCCGCTGCGATCGGCGCGCTGGCTCCGCGTTGGTCGGAGCACTTTTATATCTCTGCTCCCGCCCGGGGGCTACCGAGCGCCTCTGCCCATTGGTTAGCGCGGTGACGTGATGCGGCTCTGACAGCCTCGCTCCCCGCCGCGCCCAGCCGGCTGCAGCTCCCGCTCCAAACTCCTCCGGCCGCGCGTCCGGGGCCCCTTCGCCAAGGCGCGCACCCGCTCGCTCGGCTCCGCTTAGGTCCCAGAAGAGGACGACGCCCCGGGGGCGGACGGGCTGGGACTCTGGGGCCGTCAGACTGCGAAGACTGCGTTTTCTGGGTCTCCTCGTGCAGGGGCGAGGGTAAATTCTAAGTTTCCATCTGAGCTTTAGCCTCGGCACCGTTTCAATATTGAGGTTCGATCAGTCCTGATGGTTCTGGGAACAAGACAAACAGTGAAAGAGAGACATTAGGGTTCTCCCAGCCCGTGGCACCAGGATTTCCCACCAGCTGGAAGGCTTATTACTACTGGTTTGCTATTTCTTCAACAGCGCCCAAGAATGCAATTGGGGGGAGGGGGTTGTTTTCCAAGGAAATTTTTGAAAGTAATTCTGACAGGGTCAAAGAAACAATAAGGAGCTTAGGAGTTTTCTGCCCTGAAAGTTTGTGAAGCTGTATCTTCACGGGATATTATGACCGACGCTGTTTTCCCTTCCCACCTACTCCAGGAAACTTTGCTGTCTTAGTCACCTGTTTTCACTCCCACTGTGAAAACTCCCCCAGTCAGCTCTCCTCTGCCACGCACTTGCCTGACCCTGTAGTTAAGACCATGGGCTCTGGAATCAGGGTCTAATTCCAGCTTTGTCACTTCCTAGCCATGAAATCTTGGGAAAGCTGTTTAACTATTTTTGGCCTTGGTTAAAAGCTTTCCTTTTCCTAAATGTGGGCTTTTCAAAGACCTCTGCACAGGTCTCCCATTGCATTGCTCTCTGATGCGGGAGATGCAATGATTGCTTGACTACTTTTAACCACCCCTCACTTCCCTTCTTCATGCAGACTTCATGTAGACTCTCTGTGCCATCCGCCCAGCAAAGCAGTGCCCTTGTGCTGGAACACAAACAGTGACTCCAGCCCGGGTATCCTATGACCAGGTACCCACACAGTCAAACGGTGACTCCAGCCCGGGTATCCCATGACGAGGTACCCACACAGTCAAACGGTGACTCCAGCCCTGGTATCCTATGATGAGGTACCCAAACAGTCAAAC